TCCAGAACGGCCCGTACTCCCTCCAGAATGACCCGTTTTGGGGTTTGGAACGACCCGTTCTCCCTCCAGAACGGCCCGTTCTCAACTACGTTTTTCAGGTCAATTTAGTAGTTTGGAACGGCCCGTTCCAGTTTGGGAACGGCCTGGTCTACATTGGTGGCGACTCCACGAACCCTCCTTTTGCGAAAACCACTAATCCATGGAGGGTCCCGCTTGGGATTAATATGGATTGGTGAGCCTTTTAATAAAATTGCTCGTTTGATGAGGTCTCAGTTTGAGAATAAGTCATTCTAGCAATCCACATTTTTTAAACAAATAAACGAGTCCAACCATCCTTCGCGAATGCCGAAAGCCCGTTTCGGGCCGGTGGCGACATGCACCAATTGGATATGAGTGCTTATACTATGTTTAATGAATTACAAAACTCCTCAAGAAAAGTTTAATGATAATAAGAGTGAGTGAAAATAAATAAATCATTCAAATGTCACTTCATTTATTTGTAAATTAAATTAAGTAAACATTTTTATCTACTTAGTTTAACCGTTGTATGCCAACTAGGAGAGAAAATATATGCTAGTGTGACAATTAACTATTGACTGATCATAAGACTAATAGAGTTAATAATCAAATATAATAAAAAAAACTATGCATAAAAGGTTAAATTTTAAGAATCCAAATGCCACAAAAAATATTTGAGGGATTCTACCATCTTTAAAGGAGCAAATTGGATGTTTACTCCAAAAGATAAATCTTCTCATTCAAAATATCTATAATAAATTGTCAATTTATATCACTCTCTCCTTAATATTTCTTAAACCAGCGAAATTATATAAATAATATTAAATATCATTAATTTAGTTCCTACAAAGATTACAAAAATGGTCACAATGAAGATTGAATCTAGGGTCTTATGCTTCTAACTATCCCAACCTCTTTCCATCATTAAATTTTAATGATCCAACCATTAAATTAAAAGTTCTTAATATATATATATATAATATTTTCACAATTTTTTATAAAAAATTTAAAATTATTTGATACTCCATTTTATTAATTCAAATTGA